ATGTATATTCCAAGTGTTCTGGAAAGAACTTCATTCTTAAAAATTCCGAGAGGAACATCTCCGTGACTTTGTAACATGTTCCAGAAATATGTTCTATCAGTGATCCCCTATATTTGCAACATTCTTTATGATGATCAGCCCACATCTTATTAATATGGAAAACCAAATAAATAAAACTCAAGCCATACAAAAATACACCAGTAAGATAGCAGCTCTTATGCTCATATTGCCTGATTTCCATAATCTCTGTCGCCTTTACCTTGAGTCTACTTCAGCCACCTGCTCTTATGACCTTAGCTTTGCTGAGAAAGAGTTCACTATTCAAAATCTTAAGTCCAAGTGCTCAACTTCTGGCCACTTTGCACATTTCACTGAGGCTTCTTGTCTCTATCTTCCCAGCCTTCTCTCTCTCTCTCCCAACCCCTTCTGACTTTCTTTTCTCTTTCTTCATCCTGGAAACTACGGTTTGTCTCTCAGCCTTGCCAATATTGTCAGCCCACAAGGCCCTCTTATCCACTCCACCCACTGAAAGCTTAGCTCTGGATTAATCCACCTGTCTGCCTTCTTGGCTATTGATCCCTATTGTGGAAAATCAAATATCCTTACAGATGACAAAAATCCACAATCCATAGTTTCAAATGGATCCCCAGAACTGCCTCTCAAACTTCCATGTATTTCTCTACAGTTTTCCACTTCTCTTTCTCCTTGAGTCCCTTACTATGCCATTTCATGCTCCCTCTCAGAAGATGCCACTTAATACTCCATATAAAAACAAATAGTATTTATTGTGTAGGGAATGCTTTGACCGTCTCTTCCTATGTTTACAGACTTGCTTATGCTTACATGATCCCTTCTTCCTGTCCTCCCACATTCCTAGAAGAGATGTCTGGCTTTTACAGTGGCCTTATTCTATTAGTCATGCCCCTTCTGAATTGCATCTTCAAACTTTAGAATTCTTTCCTGGCTTCTTCCTATCATGACCAAATATTTTTCATCTTAAAAAAAAAGTAAAGCAATCAGTCCCACTCTCCATTTGCTTCTGTTACTATCTTCTCTATTCCTCTTCAAAGCTAAATTTATTAAGTTTCCGGCACTTGCTACATCTACTTCCTTATAGAACATTCACTGTCCTTCCCCTTAAAATTATCCCATCAAATTGACTAGTAACCTCTGTGGGACCTAACCCAATGGCTTCTTTTCAGAACTCATTTTACTGCATTAGCCTCTCTTGAAATACTCCTGCTTTGGCTTCTTTTGAAACCTTATAATCTTGATTTTCCTTCTGTAGCTATTCTTGTCTTCTCCAATCTTTATTTTGACTTCTTTTTCTGGCTGTCCTTTATGTTTAAGAATCTGCCTACGTCTCTTCATTCTAAGCACATTCTCTGTGTAACATGGCTTAATTCCATGATGATAGTTTCAAAATCCACCTCTAGCTAAGAGCTCTCTTTGGAGCTCCAGACACACACACCCAAATATTTATTGATTATCTGCACTTGGACGCCTCACGGACATCTCAGACTCAACACGCACAACACTGAACACGGCCTCTGTTCTGACAAACATAATCCTCTTTCCTCTGGCTCAGATCCCAGCAAATGACACCTTAGGCCACTGAGCTACTAGGAACTTAAGGGCAACCTTCCATTTTTTCTCCTTCTATCCTGACACACAGTCAGTTACCAACTCCTGTGTATTCTATGTGCTTAATAGGTCAACTCTTCATTCTCATTTGTCAACTCTTCATTCTCATTTCTGTAACTTGAACATATACCAATTTGATGTCATGCTGTGATTCTTGAGTTCTCGTGTCCTCTTCTTGTTTTGTCTCTCTCCAGTGCACATTCCACCCAATATATGTAAGGATCATGTCACTCTCCAACTTGAGATCTTTTAGTGTATGTCTGCTGTCATCAGGATAGAGTTCAAGGTACCACATTTGGTGATATTGCTCTAGCTTATTTCTCCAGGCTTATTTTCTCTATTCTCCCTCTCTCCTTCTGTATCCCTATCCAATTGAACCATCTAGAGTTCCCTGAATTTTCCATACAGTGCTATTTACGAGATTTTTGTATATGCTGTCCCCTTGGTCTGAAACTGTGCCCCTCCAACTTACTTTTTTCTTGTCTAATTCCCCTATCTCCTCATGTCCCTGCTTAGAAGTTTCTTCCATGTTCTCTGACTTCTCCTACTGTATGTTAGTTGTGTGTGTGTGTGTGTGTGTGTGTATGCAACCATATCATCTTATCATAAGAATGATTAGTACAGTTGTTGCTAATAACATTTGAGCAATTATTTTATGCCAGGATCTATTTGAAGCAGGCTATATATCTTAACTCATCTAATGCTCATAACATTATGAGGTAACTATTATTATTTTCTCAGATAAGCCATCTAAGCTGCAGAAGTTACATAATATTCCCAAGGCTCTACAATTAGTAAGTGACACAAGTAGATGCTGTACTCAGGCATCTTATTGAAGAGTTTACAGACTTAAACATCATACATTTGTCCATATGGAAGCATGTATGACACTGTGCTGTAATCACTTGTTTGGATCTAAGTTCCTTATTGGGCCCCAGGTTCTCGGAAGTAACATCCCGGTACCCAACACAGTGACTGGCACCTGGCATGCTTCCAATACTATTTGAATGAGTAAAGAACAAAGTGATGTGTGATTTGAAGAGAAAGAAGTCTTTGACTAAAATTGGATTTACCCTGACCCAGCCTCCGTGTCTGCCAGTGTGACATTTTGCCCCACGAAATGACTTGCTGTCAGCTGACCATCCCATGCTGTTTCTTATCCCTAAGAGTTTGCATATCCTGTCCCATCTGCCTTAGTACCTTTCCTGCTCTTGTCCAACTGGTAAACCCTTATTCTTTCTTCCAAATCCAGCTTAGATTCATTTTATTCCTGAGAATTTCTGGCCTTCTTTTTAGATTTCAGATTTTAGTTCCTCTATACTTTATACATTTAAGCATCACAAACAACAGTAACTTATTTTACCAATGGCCTATTTTCTGTTTATCTTTGTATCTCTAGGACTTGAGTGTAGAACCTAGCACTCAGGAATGTTCAATAAATGCTTAATACATAGATTGGATGAAATTAGGTTGGGTTATGTCTCTGTAGGTTAATAAACAGTCATCTTGTATCTGTGGGCTCTTACACTGGCAAATAATTGATTACTATTTGAATTGTCAATATTGCCATATTGGGAGGTGTGGACAGGAGCTCTCACAACACTTTTGCCTGTTTCACTTCCCTGATCTGGTCAAGGACTGGTCAAAGGCTATGCCATTTCTCATGAGTCACTCAAGTGACTTATTAACACATCAGACAATTAGCACACATCTTAAGATGGCGAGTCTATTTTCATTTAGAGGTAGACCAGAAGGGCCAAAGAAAAGTCTGCAAATTTATGAAGTATCAAGCCACCAATCCAATCTTATAAGTAGACACTTAGTCCCTTCCTTTGTACTCTACTGCTGGAATCTTAGTACCATTCTTTAAAAAATTCAGATGATATCCTATCTCGCCTTTCTTACTAGTGAAACAGGAAACCTAGTGGAAGGAAAGTCCCAGTTTGTGTCTTTCAATGTTATTAATATTGGTGAATTATCAAGAGTAGATGCTTCTTGTTAAACAAAGAAGCCACCTGTTAACCAAGATAAAGGCTGTATACATTAAACAAAGTATCTTCCTGAGGGTGCCATATCCAAAATGAAACAGGCACATTATGAATGACAGATAATACACTTTGGAGAAAGACAAGTGATATTTTAATTAATGACAATTTATAGAGTTCCCCAAGAGGACCAAACTGACTTCACAGATTAAAGCTAAACTAACTCATTGATTCTCATCTGAACTTCTAAGATGAGTATTCAGCCATGAGCATAATTAAATAAGTCCACAAGTCATGAGTAAAGGTTTATATGACCCTTCAGATGCTGGGTCAAGCAAACCAGGTGGCCAAAAACACAATGTTCTCTGCTTGAGAACCACCCACCATCCAGGTGCAAGACTCAACTGCCCCGGGAAATCTTTCATCCTATTTCTGGCGTTTATCTCTTGTCCTGTCTCTCCAATGCTCTTCTTGGTTTGGATTTTATGCCCTTGTCTTCTGATACATTAAAGGATCAAAGGGTTCAAAGCTCTTCAGACTGCCAGTATTTTATTTAGTTTAAAAAAGTCAACAAAATAAATGGTGCCCATTTTCCTCATTGCAGGAGCCCAAAATTCAAAATAAAATGAACGCATGAGAAGACCTGTGTTCAAAATAAAAACCCACTTCTTCATATACATATACCCTATTACAGACTGTCTCACTAAATTTTACAAACTCGAATATAGCCAATTAAAATCTTCAAGATACCAATACTTCCCCAAATCAGCCTCTACTACTTTGTTGTACAAATGGGACATTGGCAGCTTCCTTTCAATATCCCAAATACCATTTTGGGAAGAAATCTGGAGTTTTGATTCATTCAACAAACAATATATTGAGCACCTACTAGGTGTCAGACACTATGCTGGGTGCTAAGCAAGCAAAATGGGATGATTTTTCTGATTTAAGAAGAATCCTCGTCTCTAAAGCAGTGCTTCTCAAACTATTTTTATTAATCTGTGCCCTCTTTTGATAAACATAAATATCCTCCCACTTCTCAGAACATCTGATGAGCCCTTCTAGCACTGAGAATCTCTGATACACAGAATATAGACTCTGTTTTCTGTGTATCCTTCACACACCAAATGTCTTTGGGCTTTTACTTTTTATCTCTAAAGCAGCAATTATTTTCCATAGACAAAACTGGACTGGAATCTTAAATATACTTTTTAGAACCACACATGCTACCCCACCCCACCCCAGAACTGAAATTCAAACTCCATGCACTTAGCCCTGTTGAGAGTCACTGCTTTAAAGAGTTTTGGAGAAAACCAGGCAACTCCATCTCTCCCCGCCAATCAAGTCTTAAAGGAATTAGAATTTTCCTACCTGACACAACAGCTGGTGGAGTATCATAATCCTGTCTTGGGACTGAATCTTTGAATGAAAAGAGCATGAGAAAGAATGCAATGAAGTACAAAAGAAAATAAAATAGTATCATAGTTCTAAACCTTGGAAGTGCCCACTCGATGGGATGTGGTTGCCAATGCCCCTTGGCTTCAAGCATTTGAGGCACTGCGAACCCTAGTTTGCAGTCGATACAGTGGTCCCCGTCACCCCCCGCCGGGCATGCTGTAAGGCTCTGTGTGACATTCTGGGACAATAAAATCTATCCAAGAACATTGTCATCTGTCACAATTTTGGTCCCATCCCTTGGGGAATCAAGGTGAAATATTTACCCTCTCTGGCAGACACAAAAGTTCTCCAAGGCAACCCATCTTTAGGAGCCCCAGAGCACAGTAGGAAATGAAGTCCTGGAGCACAAAAGAAAGAACTAAAATTTTAAAAGAAATTAGTGAAATTGCCCATTCCCATACTCTATGGAGGCTGATGCATTCTGAAGTCAGATGCCATCATTAACTGCTCAGCTCTGGCTCCAATCCCAGTGGTTGGCAGTCAAGGCCAAGGAGCATGATGTACTGGCTCCGAGAGCAGAGACAAACAGACAGCATCTCTGCCACCAATAATCGTTCTTTTCTAAAGTGTCATAACACTGGAGGTGGCAAATGGTAGGGAAAGGTTCATTTAAACTACATGGCAGCCCCTTCAAAATGTGGGGTTATGTGGGTTATGTGCAAATACATCTGCATTTTTGAAGATGAAAAGGAGGCTTTGGCTTACTTCACACAGTTCCTTTGGCCAGGGGTCTTAAAGAGGGAAGTGGGACATGGCCTATGGCCCAAGGTCCCCCTTTGAAAAGTGGGAAGTCCTTAGCCAGCCCCAGCTCCCTTGCAGGAACAAACTATGTAAAAGGGACCAGAGACTGCTCACATCAAATAAACTGCCAGAACCTGGTTCAATAGAGCTTTTGTGTGACCCTTATTCTATGTGGATGACCATTATTCTATTTTAAAAATGAAAACTTCAAACTTTCCTTTCCACCTCCTTGAAAACTTAATTTGGACTGTCGCAAATTTCTCCATTTAATCTCCCTGTCACAAAAGGATGTAAATGGCATGTGAGAAGACAGATCAAAACCTGAACACTGCAGGCACTTGGACCAGCACAAGCAAATATTCGTCAAAGACATGAGTTATTTTGCTTCTCACAACGGGCAATATGAACTAGTGAGTTGATTATAATCCCCAAATCTAGAATGAGTAAAATCATTTTAAAAGAATTTCCAAATATTCATTAATAATCGTTGTCATTCCTAACACCTCTTAAAAAAACTACAATCACACATTATTACTATAAACCAACATAAAGTTAATTTTAAGACCACGCCACCATTTTCCAAGAAAATGATATTTAAAAATAAATAATAAAAGTAAATCATGCTCATTGTTGAATACCTGGAAAATATAGTAAAATATGATCAAAGGAGAAATTATCCTAACCCTATCATCCAGAAAAAACTGCACTTGTTTTGTATTTTTTACAGCCTTATTTCATAAATATTTTTTCATAGTTGATGCTATACACCACATGTGCAAATTTACATCCTGCTTTTTTGATTGAAGATGATAATCACTTTCCTAATTATTTTAAACTATTATAACTTCATGCTGCCTTACATTCTGGTTTATGGATGGCTTATGATTTATTTAACCATTCTTCTTTATTGGACATTATAAATAATACTGGACCAAACATTTTTGAGGTTTAAAGGCTTTCTGTTATTTTAGAATGTTTCCACAGAAAAGCTTCTCAAAACTGTAACTGTTTGGTCTTGTCTTGACTGCCCACATTGCTACCTACCCTGATATTTTAATAAATTTAGATTCTGCACATTACACTATCAGTGAATGAGATTATTTCCATACACCTTCATCAGCAATGTGTGTTACTTTGATAATTTTGTTTAATGGTTATATGCTTGTACCTATATGTGTATTTGATAAATTACTGTTTCTTTGATTACTATTTTTCATATGTTTTTTGGCATTCTATTTCCTCCTTTATTAACTACCTGTGCACACTCTTTGGCATTTATCTGTTGGACTACTGTGTTTTGTTGCTAATTTATTTGAACTCAGAATCCATTTTTTAAATGGCAAAAGCTTAGGATTTGGAGATAAACCTTTATCATACTAGACTTGCACTTAATGCCTACTTGTTTATAATTTATAAGACTATTTTCAAAGTTCATTTATTTTACACTAAGACTAACATTTAAAAAAATTATTCTCTTTTATCTCTAATTTCTTTCTTGTATTTGACCCTTTTTAATTAATTGATACTTTTTTCTGAAAAGTCATTTCAGGAGATGCACTCATAACCATGTATGAATTCATGATACTGTTTCCTAATCATGAGTCCATTTAACCTTGTATGGGTTTTTATCTCTCTCAGTCTTAATATATATTCATAGCTAATAATTGCAAAAAGACCATCTCTAAGCAAAATGAATAATTCAGGATGTTCACTTGATGGAGTCAGAATTTTAGAGCAGTAAAGAAGGGGCAGTATGTCCCTAAAATGTTATAGAACTAGGGTGAGCAAATGGAGTGCAATTAGATTATCTTTGAAAGTGGCTACAGCTACACCATGGGGACCCAGTGATGTCACAAACCACCAGTGGTTTGGAGAGCACAAACAGAGCTGCAGATAAGGCACCTGCAGAACAAAACCTTTTTTATTTCTTTCAAAAGATTCTGGTGACATTGTAAGCCACTGGTGACCACCAACTGAACAAATGAAAAGGAGATAAGAAACTTGTAAAACAAGATTGTCATGCAATTTGGAGGTTCTCATAACACAGTAAAACCCCCAGTGGTTTCTGCTAAAGCTTACAACAGAGTGATAAGCAATTATGAATAAAGGGCTTTGGTTCTGTGGAGGGAATCCTAAGACAAAAATAAATAAATAAATAAACCGAAGCAGAAAAGCTAGAAAGTTCTTCAAGGTCAGCAAAGCCCTGGAATAAAACAGTTACACTGCTTGCATAAAATCCATTTCTTTTAAAAGGTCTGCAGATTCTGTACAGTTTAAAAATAATAGGTAGAGAATTGAACAATAAACATTTGAGGTGGCAACTAGTAGAGAAAGGTTAATTAAATTACCTGTCATTTATTTCAAAATTTAAAACATATATAATTTTATGATGATGAAAAAGAGGCTTTGGTTCAATACACTTTCTTTACAAAGAGATCATAGAAAGGAACATGGGAAATGCTCTATGGCCCAAGGCCATTCTAAACATGGAAAATTCTAACCGAGCTCCAATTCCCATCAGACCTGATTACTACCTGCTTTGGATTATTCCCTGCATCTCTCTGCTTCGTCCTTGGAACCTGTCTGTTGCTGGTGTTGAGTTTCCTGTCCTAATCTTGACTTGGCACTTGCCCACACCTTGTGTTGTGGAACTGAGGTGAGCTCAGAAGTCCGAATGCCTCTGAAAAGTTACAGGTGGGATAGAGATCTGGTCAGATAATTTTAGATTGACTGATGGTGGTGACATGGTAGAGAATGGACTGGAGGAAGTCGAGACTGGAAAGCAGGAATACAGTCAGGAAGTTATTGCAGCTAATTACATGAAGCCCAGGGCAGAGAGTCTAGAAATGTGGAGAAAGTGATGCCCATGAGTGGTCAAAAAATGCCCATGAGACAAAGTTGGTGGCACTTGAAACATAATTGTCCATGGTGGTGAGGGAGAAGGAAAGAGTCTAGACTGATTCTAGGTATAGTGTTTGAGTACCTGGGGGAATGGTCCCGGGACTAGCTTGAGAGGACATACGAGTCAGGGACATATAAGAGGAAGGGGTTAGTGGGGAGGAAGCTCAGGACATTAATGTGGGTCTTACTGACTGAAATACTGGAGGTAGACTTACAGGTGATATTTAGCAAGTGGTGGGGTAAACGCCTCTAGAACTCCCGGAGGAGGTTAGTCTCGAGGACTCGGGTTTAGTTCTTAGCATAGGAGGTAGGGTTCAAAACCAGGAGAGTGGATGAGCTTGCTTAAGGAAATGATGTGAAAATGAGAAGGAAGTTAAAAATCAAACCCTGACTTAGCAGCCCATTGAAAGAAAGGCAGCAGTGATGGCTAGAGAGGTTGGAGGAAAGCTAGGAAATCTGGAGGCAGGAATCACAAACGAAGAGCTCTTAGGACAAACTGGGTCCAATATTCAAAGTTAGGGACGTATTTCATTAAAATCCAAATATTTATCTTATCTTGAAAATTTGGAAAGTGAGGTCTTGCTGAGTTTGTATGCCCACATAGTAATAGCTGTCTGGAGGTAAGCACTGGCTGCCCTCTTTAGACGCGGCAACCGTGTTCCAGGCTGCCAGGTGTACCATATCTCACCCAGCCCTCAGGCAGAAATGTTATTACTATTGAATGAGAAATATGTCTAATTTAAAGTACATTCTCTAATATGAACCCTATTTATATGACATGACTATGCTTGTGACACAGGAAAATATAGACCAGATTTGATTATATATTTCCAGGGCTTTTCGCTTGAACTCAGTCAACCTTATTCACAAATGTGACTTGGATGGCTTTTACAATCCTGAAAGAGTAGGTTACAAGATGAGGAATTACACACTTGAAAGAAATATCAAATGAAATAGAGGAGGTCAGTGAGTTGCACTGTGGACTTGATAATGTCCTACATCCCTACTGGTGACCTGGACTTGATGTTCACCAGTGAGGAGGCACCAGCTGTAGAGGGTCAGGGGGGCTTATTTGATAAGACCTACTGGGTATCACACACTATTTGATGTATGTTACACATATTGTTCCATCTAACACTCACAACACCCCTCGGGTGTAAATTTTATTCTTCCCACTTTGTGTAAGAAGAACTGAAAGTTCAGAGAGGTTAAATAACCTGCCTAAAGATGCATAGCTAATAAGGGGAAGAGCCAGGCTTTAAGCTCAAGTTTAATTACAATGCCCATTGTGCTTTCAATGATACCAGGCCACCTTCCCAGCAATGGACAAAGTATGTTGAAAAGATAAAATAAGATAGGGAAATTTTATGAAAAGAATCAATCCCGAGTGGATAGTAGCCACTCCAAATGCCAAACAAGAATTTAGATAAAATGAATCTATGTTGGCACATCAAAATGTAAGTGACAGTTAAAGAAAAAATCTACCATTCTAAAAGGTTCTAGAAAAGCAGAGAGAAAACAGTATTACTGTTTAATTTAATGAACATTTTGTTATTAACACATTAATTGTGTTATTAACACAGTAATACCAATTTTCTCTCTGCCTTTCTAGAACCTTATAGAATTCTAAACATTTGCAAAACATTAGTTTACACAAAGCTTATAATGTACTTAAGCACTATTTAGTACAAATGTGAAGGGGGAAAAGAATGAACAAAAGGCTAGAGGAAATTTGGTATTAAAAAATAATACGTGGTTAAAATTTTGCTCTCTAAGAAAGGGAGAGGTATATATGATTATTGGATAATTTGGCTGTTACTAGCTGGGTAAAAACTGTGGTCTTATATAAATTTGTTCTTGTTGAAAATGTTCAAATACTAATCATAATATATGTTACTGAATCAATAACCTTTCATTTGGAATCTGTTCTATATACTGTGTCTTATTTTTCAATTCCCTAAAGGCTTCAGGTATATTCTCAATTAACCTGCCTCTTGTGTTTTTCCTAGTGGCCAATTTGAACTTCAGCAACTCAGCTGACTTTGCTTTTGACTCAAATGTGTAGGATTTATAAAGTATTTCATTTTATGCTTTATATTATTAATTCCCTGTTTTATCAGATTCCAGATTATCATTCAATACAGTGAGATTTCATTACTTTGCTTATTCAAAACTTATGGTCATTTAAGGAGAGGAAGACTGATAAAAAGGGAAATCAATAGTGGGCCTCCCAGCAGCATTCTGGGCATCTGCTTTGTTGACAAACAAGCAGAGTGAAAAATAATCATCCCATGTTGCTAAAAACTATATAAATACTATCTCAAATTCTACCTCCCTGATGGAAAATAGCTGGACCACAGTGTAAAATTAAATGTAGTTTTAGACACAACTTTTTAAGTCTAGGTCAGAGTCCTGGGAAATCTTTGGATCAAGGCTAAGCCTTCAGACAGGTTGAGGTGTCATCAACTATTTTTATAGGTTCAACAACTGACTTCTTAGAGGTAGGTGCTTTGTTTGTTAATAAAATTGAATTTCTTTATGGAAACAATGGGACTCTTTCCATTAGGTATACGGAATTTTTTCCTATTCAGTGTAGATTACTGAGGACTCAGTGGACATATCAGGGACTTCTTATATTTCAAAAAGACTGAGTCCCAACATATCTATGTGGCAAGCAAACCATTGGCTTAAGGTAAAATTTCAACACATAGCTAATGTACCTGGTGTATGTAGATTTTTGGAGATGATACCAGCATAAATGAAAGAAATCATATAAATGGTGACGATGAGACATAGGCTTTAAGTCACTGAGGCAAACAAAGGGGCCCTGTATATCATCACATTCAATACTAGACTTAGACAGAGAGGGAAGGGAGACCAGGAGATAGTATTTCCCCAAAGACAGACAGAAACAACAGGGCTCAAGCAGGATTTGAATCCAGGCTTTTGACTTCTAGTCCTGTGCTCCTTCTGTGCTATTTAAGCTACCTCACTCAGAAGAAACTTCCTTTTTTTCTTTCTACATCTTTAAAAATGACAGAATTATCTGCATTAACATTTATGATAAATAAAAACTGTTGGCCATGAGATCTACATGGGAGGTTGGCTTTGATTTCATTGTTGTCTATAATGATAATTTAAAAAACTGTGATATTCCAGGTTATATTGGATATTTGCCCTCTTCACCATTTGGGGAATGTCCCAGAATGGATTTTTTTTTTTTAATACAAAGTTTTGCTAATGATGTCAAATGCCTCGTTGATATAAAATCAAGGCTACAACCAGTAATTTTTTTGATATACTTTTTTCCCCTAAGAAAAATATTGGCTAGTCAAATATATCCCAACCTATAAAAAAAGATCAAGCATATTAGATTCCTTTCCTTTTTTTTCAATGTCGTCTATCTTGATATATTACAAAGAAAGATTAAATGAGCTTGATTATGTCAGGTTCTCAATGACTATTGATTGATGTAGACATTGAAAGTAAATAAAAGCTCTATGTCTTGGTCATAGTCAAGGTTGGCTATGGACTCATGAAGAACCTAGGGTAAATTGGCTGAAGTAGTAAGCATCTGGGAAAACAAAACCAGGCTCAAGTGTATTAAGTTACAAGGTCTGGATTCGCAGGTGCATGCATAAAGATACCTTTCTGAAAACAGACATTCCACCTGGTGCATTGTGTCATAAGAACAAGAAGCCACTCAAATTTAAATACACCCATGTAGGACTGTCAGCTTTGTGGATGTGAGTAAATGTGGCCCCAGAACTGAATGTGCATGCAGAAGGAAGCTTATTCATACTGGAACCTGAAAGGTGTGTTCATCAATGACACAGAACCAGTTGTGCTGATAATGCCCGTGGAAACAGAGCATTGCCTCATATTGAACAAGTCCAAAGGAAACAAGACCCCACTCTTCAACTCACCGTTCCTGTTGTGCCCAACGAAAGATGATTCATCTGCTGTGTCAGGGGGCCCATCATGTTCGCTGGCTGCATGGACATGGGGTGGTCCAGGGTCGGCGTGATCACAGCACCCTGTAAGGACACACAACACCCAGCTGAAAACATGCTCCGCAGGAAAGGAGGCTTTTTAAAAAACACAGCAAACAGTTATCATCAAATGCATTTCCTTTTTTACTGAAAAGACTAACTTCAACCATATATGATTTTTACATCCATCTGTCATTTTTTGTGCTCATCTAAATATACAGCATGAGCGACTTCTTTTCCTCTGGGGGGGGTTTACCTCTGATGGTCTAAAATGCCTGTCATTTATAAGTCTGACATTCAATGTAGAATGCATTCCAAGATACCATATGTCTCCTCTCTCTCACTGTGCTAAATACAAACCTCTGACTGAACAAAATAGAAATACTATGGAAATTCTCTAGTTTTTCTTGATATTGAATAAGATTTTGGTTTTGCCATTTATCCATGATTTATATGGGTAATTCTTGACCCAAGACCATCTACCACCAGAGGGATGGTGCTGGCCCACATGGGTTTCTTGACCGGATCTTTTTGAAAGACATATTAAAATCTAACAGAAATGATATGGAAATTAGTTACAACTTTCCTTTGTTTTTCTCCTAATCTTTTGTCCTACTTTTTTCTATTTGCCCTTTTGACACAGGACAGAGAATACTGAACTCTGTTAAATGCTGGTCAAATGCAGCATGCCAACATTTAAAAAAAAACATAAAAATGTCAAGTTTTTCAATCAGGCGTTAGGAAAGGCCTACTTCTAGAATATCCTTCTTGATCTATTATAACTGTTGGGAATGTAAGAAATAATAGATACTTAAAAAAGATTTCTGTCCATATACAAAATTCCACATAGTTAGTAAAGCACGGAGCCAGGCCATATTGCCCTCCCTATCCTGGTGCTTTATTTTACTTTTTGCCTTAGACCTTAGATGACCAACTTAGAGAATAGAACAATTGCGCATGTTGTGTTTCCTTTTTTTTTTTAATTGAAAAGCTAGGGTTAGATGGAATTTTTGAGATTGTATCATTTCAATGCTTTATTTTAAGGATGATAAAAAAGGCAGAAGCTCATGATATAATAATTCACTTCAATACCCATTGGTAATAAAACGATTATGTATCTGAATGCTATTTTTTCTGTAGATATTATTTTTCTCACTATATGGCTTTTTCCCCCCCATTTAAGTAAGCATTTTGAAGAAATAAAATTAGGACAGATTCATGTAGATGACAGGATCTCAGCACCCAAACCAATGACCCTCAAGCAAATGTTTCACAAAATGCTTTTGCTTAGGATGATCAATTCCTCATGGCATTATCCAAACGTATCTGTCAAAAGATCAAGCAATCACTCAGCTTAAGGGCTCCTCCCCATGAATAGGGGAGGGATAGTAGAAACTGAGCCAAATATTTGGAAATGCCTGATTTACAGAGCCAGCTTTGTTCTTAGTCACGTTTGGACTTTGGAGCTAGAATCAATCAGAAAAAAGTATGTATTGTTATAAAGCTCTGTAGCTTGTATATATAGATAGCTGTGCATTTGTGTTTGAAATTCTTGATGCCGCTACAAATTGTTATTCATCAGTATGCTTCTAAGATGAGAGACATGATAAGACAAGCTTTTTCCTTAATTATAGCTCAGAGAAACATCTTTTTTAATTTCTGCTGTCTGAATTTCTTTAACAAAAGTATCTTAATTTTTTCCTTTAGAAAAAAGGACAACTTTCTTGACTTCATTTCAGACATTTGGTGTGCCTGACCAGCAGTAAACACTTTAAGAAGAACTGGGGTTCTTCTTAAATCAATTATGGATAAACTATAGAAAATAACCTCAGAGTAAAGATGGAAATCCTGAAGCATTTTTCTCCAAAACGTGGCACTTTCACCACATTCTAATCCTTAGCAGGTGCAAGACTTCAATACTTGAATTTGAGATTGAGGCTATCTTCTTAGACAATTGGCCCCAGAGATTCCAACAGTTACACTGTCACAATCCAGGAAACCTCTCAATCCAAATCAGCTTGCTCCAGCCATTGAAAGAATTGTTTGTCATAAATTGGAGATAAAGGCCAGACTGTATTTGATAAGGACTCTTTCTTCTCAGTGCCCTAGGAATGACCTCATTCTCCACTAGTGTGACCCACAGATTTTTGTCTTTGTTTGGGAGGCAATTGCAAATGAGATATGTGAACATATGACAGATGAATCAAAATCCATGTATGAAAAGAAGAGAAGGATTGAGTGCCTGTATTTGGAATTAATTTAGGGAGGATTGCCTGGTCTCTTTAGAGAACCCTTTCTCAGAAAGTGTTTGGGGACTCATGTGATTACACATGACATGGAAGGAGTGCTGCTTCGGTGTATAAACTGGAAAACTGACAATCAAAGGGAGGACTGGGAAGGGATTTGTCATTGGGAACTGTAAATAGTGGCACTAGGCATGGAGTAGAAAATGGTGTAAAAGAAACATTCCTTTGCTAACCAGATTGGTTATTAAAATAAATGAACAATAAGGATTCTCACTGGAGAACATGTAAGAACATATATTCTTGATCAGCTTCAGTAAAAATGTTCAATGAATAAAGGAATACCATGAAATATTAAGAACATAAATCCCTTAACAATCTCAAGGGATGCTAGAAATTTATAATCAGTAAGTAAGTTAGAAGTAGTGGACAGGAACCCCTGGAGAAACAAATTTTCTTGATGATACTTAATTGGGATATCAACCTAAGAGAGTTTGAAGTATAAAAAATAATGGTATTTGCTAACCACATTGCTCCTCAAAGATTACAAAATCTTTGTATTGTGTAGGTCATTTTAAAAAAAAGGAAGAGAAAGAAGAAAGAAAAAGAAGCAAAAAAGGAAAAGAAAAACCTATGGCTGTTAAGGCAGAACTGGTGTCCTCAACCATAATCATGCCTCATTAAATATACTGTCAATTCCATTTTCATCCAATGCACTTAAGCCATAGACTGAAGAGTGTTTTGTGACAGATGTTGCCAACACATTAAGGGTAATTTCATTTACTTAAAATGTATAGAATGTGCTGCCTGATGGAGTTCACTTGGTAAATGCAAAGCAAGAAGAAACAGATTTTTCATTTTAGCATCCCCGGATGTCTGGGTTTGCTCAATGTTTAAGCTGCAAAGAAAAATACTGTAACGTGCTGTAATCCTACTAAAAAGCACAATGACCAAACAGCTGATGGGAGTATCTGGTCTGTTTTAGCCACTGTCTCTGCAGAACAAAGCTGCTCATGCTGAGAAGATGTGAAGGCAGATCTGGTTGCTCTAATTCTGAAATAAACAATCTCAACAGTAATTTGGGTAAAATTTCCAATCATTGATGTGGAGTAAACAAACATATCTGACCTAAGTCCAGAACTGCATCTGTGTTGTTCACCTTCGGCCAATATTTGAAAGAAATTTTACATCTCCAAGGGTTCATCAATATTTTAATTTCCCAAATGAAATATAAGATCACCAGCAAATGGGGGAAAACATGGACAGGCTGTCTCCCATGAAGAGTACACATAGCTGGCTAAAAACCTATATTAATGCCAGGACAGGGAGGACTACACTGAGAATTACCTGTATAAAATATCCCTATGAATGTCAATATTCTAGAGCCATTCCGTGTATGACCTGTGGACCAGCTGCAGTAGCAGAACAAGAATTAGAATTAGAATCCCTGGGATTTGGGCCTTGGAGCCTGTATTTTCACAAGCTCTGCAGGTGATTCTAATGCATCCTGAATTTTGAGAAGTGTGCTCTGTCTATAAACTGCCATTGTATAAGAGCCAATGTCACAGGTCTTAGATACAAGCAATTGGTTTTATTTACACTGTTACTCAATTATTTGTTTTAAACCAGTCTTGTGACAGGGCATGAGACTTTCCAGTAATAATCACATTATATCTTGTTTAAAAATGCAAAGAGAACAAGCCTGCATTTTTGATAAGCTGAAATGGGGAGATTATCTGAATAATTCAGGCCTGTGCCTATGACCCGACATGCTTCTATTTGATCATTTTGGCTTTGTGTTGTAGCAATTTGAGAATCCCTCCATTTGGAATCTTAGTCAGCCTTGAATTTGAAATCACAGGGGTGCAAAAGTGAAAGGTAAGAAAATTATTTGGGTAATATAAAATTAAAAATGAAAATGAGCATCACTGCCTTTTCCTCCTGCCATATCAAGATGCCGTCAGGTCAAAATGTGTGTGGTCCATATAAACTCTGTTCCTATAGTGATTTATGCAAATCTGTAGGACTTTTTAGTAGTGATCATTCAACACTTTAAAAAATGTGGTTTTAAGCTCATTTACCTTCTTTCTCATCTGTATGTTTTCTGCCTCTCTGCCACATTTTTAGTATTTCCAGAATAAATATCTAGTTGAGTTTGTGTACCCCAGACTATGTTTAGCACATGTAAAGTGGGCTGCAGAGAATAACAGGAGCTTACAAATAAACTAGTTAGTGTAAATGATTTTCCAATAGCAAAGATGATTTCAAAATATAAATGGCAAAAAGGCATTTCATTTAACTTGGGAAATAGCTATTCAAAGGCAGTGTTTTGTAACATTTGTGTGCAACATTCCCTGTAGCATGGTTAGAGAGGTTTAATTTTTGTCATTTGCTGATATTGGCAAATTCTGTTTTGTTTTGTTTTGTTTGGAGGTGGTGCTGGGTGTGGTTTAATAAGGGTTGCTGTGGGTGGGGGGAAAAGAGCAGGAAAGGCCCCTCCATCCCTAGAAACAAACACTCATCAATCCTCATCAACTGGGATGCATTTCCAACCAATTTGCAGGAAGCAGTCTGACTTCTAAAAAATTACATTTGAAACTCAGAAAGCTGTGGCAAAACTGGTAGATGGGACTTCAACTTTGGAAGCCTGTGGAATGATCTCTGACAAACGTTGTAGGTGTGGAGGAATAATGAGTAACTGTGGCAAGTTGGAAGCCACCGTCCTGGGGACCCCACTGTCCCACTTAACCCCTTCCTTATCTTTATTCTTCACTTGCCTATTTCACTCTTACTCCTTCCAGG